TTATTGAGTTTCTTCATCTTGCCAATTTTCTTGATATGACCCATTATCTGAGACAATTTACTGATACTTTAATACAGGTTTTATTCAACTAGTGTTTTCAGATGTTGACTGTCAATTGCAGATGGATGTCCTCTACTGTCTTAATCTTCAAGACTCGTATCCCCACTGCGGAACTTCAGAAACCAACTCCAAACTGTCTGATCACAAGTAGATCCTTTACCAAATGCTCTGTTAATTTTGACAGCAGTTTGAACAAGGTTGGACTCTTAACAAAAAATAAATGCATCTCTTCTTTTTTCATGTTCAAGGTGATGGGTATATAATGTTTTAAGTTAAATTCTGAGACTGATATAAAATTAACAAAGAGGACATTTTAATCATTAGGAATGAGTAATATATTTTTGTACGGCTATTATAGTAATATATTAGAATACAAAAACTTTATTCTTAAATTGGACATTATTTTTTGAACAAACTAGTAAATTTTTTATTACTTAAAAAATACTATCTGCATTGATTGATATTCACAAATCAGGTTAGGTTAGTTGATTTTATGACATGCTAACCCTTATTGGGTTATTGTTGAATTTTGTATGGTGTGTGTGTGTGTGTGTGTGTGTGTGTGGTATCCAATCATGAAAAAGGTGAAAACAAAAATTCTTAAAGAATTTAAGACAAATGAAATAATTTTAAGATCTCTTGGCATATTCATTTAATGTACATTTAATTTGTGCTAAATTTATTTTAGAATTTACAGAGCTGACCATAAGTTGGTTTACTGACTTATTGATATTGTTAACATTTAATATATTTCCTTTTGCAGAAGGAATCTTATGAAAATAAAAGATGAAATAGCTGCTAATAAATAAAATGAATGAAACAAAAGTAAAAGAAAAAGGTTACTTTTATTTTGCCTGTCGACAAGATAGCTTACTGAAATTGTTTAAAAGGGGTTTCAGCTAAACTATATTTACCAAAGATGTCTTTTCAAAGGTTAGAGAAAGTAAAAGGTTTTAAAAAAAAAAAAAAATTAAATTTTTTAGCTGAGGTTCATTAGGGGGTTGTGTGTCTTTAAACATCATATTCCACTCTCCAAAATTAGTAAAAATTTTTTTCTTTTAGCAAAAAAGAAAAAAGTTAATGTATATAAAAGTGCCAAAAAAGTATTAGGATTGTTCTTTTTTGCATGGATAAATGAAAATAGTTTTAATGTCAGAACTGATATTTATTTATAAAATTTAAATTAAGACAAATATTTTTAATGTGAAACTAAGGAAAATGTTTGTATATCTAAAAAAAAAAAAAAAAAAAAATCAACACTGAAATTCTATTATTAATTAATTATAGCAAAGTATAGCTAATTGTCAAGAGAATTTGCAGCATTTGATTTAAAAATGAGGAAAGTTTTAGCTGACAGATGACACACGTTGATACCAGGTCAATATTCGCTGGTCACTGTGGAGAGTGGGATATGATGTTTAAAGACCCAAAAACCCTAATGAACCTCAGTTAAAAACATCATTACTGATGTATGCCAAATCATCAAACAAATGTATCTCACAAAATAGAATTTGTTGATATAAAGTTCTTTTGTTTTGCTCACATTTCCTAATATAAGCAGCACTGTAAGTATTTTTTTATCAAACAAAACAAATGATGTAAAAAACAAAACACTCAAATTTTTTTTACCAGAGCACAATTTTTAATTAGAAATTACAAGAGTGACTTTCTGTACACAACTAAAAAGTTGAGGATTTCCAACATACGTACAATCAAGCAATATGAAACACACTGATATTATTAACCAAACAGTTAATCAAGTACAATGAAGAGTTAAAATAAAACAAGAACAATATTTGGTTTCTTCAACTAACCATATTGCATTCCATTTGAGGCAAAGAGGAAGTCAAAGTCTTATTTCATTTGACAAGATGTTCGCTTAATTCTTGGCTAGTATTTAAAAAAAAATAAAAATAAATAAATATAGATAAAAGTCAAATTAAACAACAAAATACCTACATCAGCCCTCAGTAAACTGATGTAGATATAAAGGCTGGAAAATAGTAATATGACAAAATTAAGAAAAATTATGCAGCATCTCCAAATATACATATGTTGAAATATCAAAATAATTTAAATTTTTCTGTTCTCAGTTGATCACAATGAGAAGATTAGGTTTGTTTTGTCTTTAAGTAGTTTTGCTTCAGTTGAGATTATGTAGAAAATATTAGCTTTCATATTATCAAACATGAAATTAAGAAGGGAAAGATGACAATTTTTGTTTCATGAATTAATTGGACAAATATCCTACATTGTTTCAAGAGGTGTTTTTAAGCCATCCTCAAGTAGATATTTTAATTTAATAATGGGGGAAAAAAGACCCCCAAAAAACATAAAATAGAAAAATGCTGTCCAAAGATTACCAAATCCAGCATGAACCTGAGGATCATCAGAGAATATACCAACCAAAATATAGTGATTAAAGATGAGGATATTAGTCTGAATAATGACCATACTTCATCTCAGAATCTGATAACTTAGCAAATCTTTTATTTGTGATAAAATGGTATTACTTCCTGAAAAACTTGTCAAGAAATCTACAAACATCTTGTATACATATGATTATTTGACCATGATTAAAAAAATGGACAAAGAAATGGTTTAAATCATAAAAATGATTTTACTACCAACAGGAAATTAAGAAAAAGTTAGAATTTATTCACTAAACAAAGATTAGTTAAGAAAGTAAAAAAATAAAAAAAAATAAAAAATTGACAATATAGATAAAAAGACAGTGATAATTAGTAATCTAGTTTTAATGCATTTATTTATATATAAACTTACAGTTAAGCTGGAAATAAAATGCTAACAAGAAATGAAACCCTGCATTGATACATCAGTAGATACATATTTTCAGGGTCTTAAGATTTTAAGACAAATGGCCATTTGTTTTAATTATAAAAATCAAATTTGTCTAAGTTTTGTGATGATGTCGCAGACTGATGCAAAAATGGACATAATTTAGCCAACAGAAAAATCACTATTAGTAATGGATATCGATAGCTTATTTCATATAAGACATTTCACTCAGTAAGTATAAACCTTTTATTTTTTTTAAACAAGGTGATTATACAGAGTTAAAAAAAAAAAAAAAATCAATATTCAAATAATTATAGTGGATCAAATGATTACTACACATACATAAACACTATTGCATACTATGGTTCATAAGTTATATGTATTCTATAGTGATGCCATGTAAACTTGGAGTCTATGTACACAGAGTTTGCAAGACATAACTAATACTATCAATACATCACTTAGTTCACATAAAGTAGGCACACCCTAAAATGTAAATACTAACAAAAACACTATTTTATACAGACAGCGTTCGCTTTGAAAAACCTTTTTTTTGCGTAGGTTTTCTTTTCCAGTTTATACTCATTTTTTTTTAATCATTTATATAAATTGGTTCCAATCATTATATCTAATAATGATTGTAACTGGTTATAATTTTAAATATCCTGTCAAGAAAATAATTATGTGACTGTCTAGGAATTATTTAGCCAACTGATTTAAAGTTGACATCTTCAGTTTGAAAGGACATATACAGAAATTTATACAAAGGAAAAGTATCCTTTTGTATAGCTTATATTTTCAACAGTTTTAGTACGGAACTGAGTTACAGTTAATTTAGAGTAACAACTCCACAATTCAAGACTAGACTTTTGCATTGCCTCATTCTTCCAGTCTTAAAATACAAATCAAATTTTATTGAGAGCATACATAACATTCAATGTAAGGGCATGTTTTGAAATAACACACCATAAATGCTCTTAATCTTAAAAATAGACAACTTTTTTTTCCATATTCAGGCACTGTTTTAAAGTTAACATGTCAGTACATAATTTTTATTGTAAATAAGTATTTTCATGGAATGAGTATTTTCTGTTATCTCTTTTTTATTCGCTTAAATAGATATCGAAGGTGCAATTGGGCTTGGCTTGGATTGGATATTAGGAAAATTTTTTGACAAAAAAAAAAAAAAAAAAAAAAAATGCAAGTCAAACTCCTGAAACGTTGCAACTGCTTTTCATGTTTATATTTAGATGAAGGGAGGTAACTCTAGTGCCAGTGAGCGAAGTTATTGATTGCCAAGGCCTTGCATTCTACTGAGAACATTCAATTATAACATTCTTATACATTTCGATCCAGTTTTATAAAGAAAACAAAATCACTGAACGTGAACAGCAAAATACTGAATTTTTGAATTTATTAATGCTGTCAGTTATAAAATAATAACAGAAGAATTGGTATTAGGTACCTCTCTCATCTTATTTAATTTTTTTTTTTATACTTTAACTTAAATTTAGCAAGGTCAAGGCAAATCATTTATTTGTGATAATGGCAAATGGTAATTCTATGAAGTCAGGTTTGTGTTTTGCTCTTTTTTTTTTTTTTTTAGATTTTTTTTCTTTGCATGCACATTATATTTTTATAATATCAAAATATTAAATGCAAAAAAATTTTTTTTTGCTTTTTTTGCCAAGATGAAGATGTGAGAAGCGTGCATGGTCAGTTTTGAAAAGTTTCTTTAGAATGACCACTTGCCTGGCACTTGTATTCATGCACAAAATTGGACCCAAGATTTAATGCTAACTTTTGCACATTGTCCATCACAAGCAGCAGCAATATAAGTTTCTTTCTTTGTTTTTTGTTTTTTTCTTTAACAATATGGCTTGCCGCTTTCAAGCATCTTAACATTTCCAGACAGCTTACATACTATATCATCAGTTTATTCATTTGGTGTTTGTGATTATTAAATGGCCTTCAATCAGCAGAGTCAGCTAAGAATGGGTCAGGAGGGATGGGCTGTGGAACAAGGTGTCATGGAGAAGAAAAGTGTGCCAATCGCCCCCTCCCCCCGGCATGGTCACTGAGAGCACAGTGATCAGGTCGGGGGGCGGGGTAAACAGCAGGACACCAAGTTAGAATTTCACTCCAATGAAGAAAGCATGAGTAGTTGTTTTAGGACTTTCGTTTGACTAGTTTCACGGATTTCACCTGCTGTGAACATCTCATCGACAACACTGTAGACCTGCAAATAATGTAAATAATGTTTTATATTAAAACCTGCAAAATTCAAAAAAGTTATGTAGCTATAAAAATGTGTGTATATATATATATATATATATATATATATATATATATATATATATATATATATATATACACACACACACACACACATAAATAAATGAAGTATTTTTTTAAGGAATCTGATTACCACAATAATTTGTAATCATTGGATTAGAATTCATTCAGGAGATCAAACACCACTAATCTCAAATCTGCTTTCTATCATTGAATAAACTTTTTACAGGTGTTTTTATTTTTTTTTAAAAATTTGCTTCAAGCAAGGCAATAAAGCCACTAAACAAGGGGTTACAGTGTGTGAAAACACCTGAGAAAAACCTTATTAAAGAATCAGTTAGTTATGTGCCATGTGTGATAGATGCTTAGGCGATCATGTATCTTTTGATACATGACTGATGAGGCAGATTTTTTTCCCCACAGTAGGTTGCCATTTCTTTCTGTGGTAGACCAGTTGCTGTCCAAGGCTATAGAACCCAGTCAGTCCTGCTATTTACCCATAGCTGTGGGAGAAGAGGACTCATACTTTTCCCAAGGGTAGTAGCATGTAAGTGAATGCAATCGATTTGACTGGAATTCGAACTTGGCTCTTTGATTCCTCAATCCAAGCTGCTATTCATTAATCCACTATGCCTCCCCAAAAGAATTAAGGAGACAGAAGTTGATGATTGACATTGCATTTAAATTTCTGAAGATCAAAATTGACTGGGAAACAAGAAGCTGAAGAAATTTCCACAAGTGAGAAGCATGAGAAAAGAAACTATAAGCATAGAACATGGTTACATGTAGCCAATTCAACTGTAAAATCATGAGGCCAAACTGCTAATGCAATACTGTTCTTAAATTTGTAAAGTTAAGGTATCAAAGAGGAAAACTTGTCAGAACAATTGCCATGAAAGTATTTATAGAAAAACACAGGGAAACTTTTATGGCAGTAGGAAAGTGACTGAAGTCAAGATGTCAGGACAGATAACATTGTATATTCTTACACTGATTTCATCAAGAATCACTAAATACATAGCAGAAACACCAAACCAGATGTGACAGCAATATTCAATGCATGGATGAATGGTAGACTTATAAATGTGTCAGATTCTGGTGAGAAAAATTATCAAGAATGACACAGTAAACCAACCTTCCTTGCAGCAAACCTTGCAATTGATTTAGTAGAATCATTCCACTTCATATCAACAGAAAATGTTAGTCTGAGAAGGTACAATGATTTATTCTCCTATAGGTTAGCATGCTGATAGAAGACTAAATAAAAGGTTCTTTAAGGCGATTAAAAGAGACCAGTTTTGTTTTTAAATTAACAAGTCATTTATTGTCCCAGTTAACAACAGCTTGAAGGTCATTTTTGAGATCAGCAGGCAATTTTTACCTTATCATTAAGACAGGAGAATATAGTGGTGTTATCAGCATAGATATCAAGTTGAGAACTGATGACATTTGGAAGGTCATTGATGAAAATTAGGAAACAAAGTTGGTCCAAGGATAGAGCTCTAAGAAACATCTGTATTAGTGTAAATGATCTAGAAGAGTGGCTATTGAAAACAACTTTCATTTCATCTAGAAGACCAGGATGCCAAACCTTGTCAAATACCTTTGAGATGTCCAAAGCAAATGCCTGAGCTTCACCATCCTTATCTAAAGCTAAGACAAACTCTTTCAGAAATAATCATTAACATGTAAGCAGTTGACCTAGAGAAGTGAAAGATATATAGTGTTTGTCTGAAAGAAGATCCTGTGAGGTGAGATGCTTAACCAATTTAGAAATTAGTTAGAGCCTCTTAGACTTTGCCAAAAAGAGGTAGAAGAGTAATAGGTTGACAGTTAAAAGGATCAAACGATTTGCTGGAGTTCTTTTAAAAAAGTGGTGTGTCAGGTAAGAGTGTTAAGTCAGATGAGTCAGGAGTAGAATTGGAAGAGAATTTACTAGCAAAGTATTCTGCTTTATCAGCAAATGATAATACCTCAAATTGACTGAAGAGAGGGGGTATAGAGGAATTACCCTTATTTAACACACAGAGCCACCAGTAGTCATAAGAACCAAACTTGTTAGAAGTTATGTTATATTGCAAACAAAGACTTAGCCTCATTGATTATAGTTATTATAGGTGGAAACAAAGAGGTGTCTGTTGGTACAGCTGGAAAAGGTGATTCCTGTGGCCTATAGTGGCTGAACAGGCAGGTGTGAACCAAAGAAGATTGTGACTTAAATTGGCATTTCAAGACAGCAAAATATAATCGGTGCTAGCTGTTACCCAAGAAGAAATCTGTCATGATTCTCAATAGGAAGCTTAAAAATTTCACTCCAATTATCTTGACTTCATTCCACAGGGGTTGAAGACCACTCTTTTCCCTCCATATATAATCAGCCATCACTGATTTATATGTCTGTCCTAGACTACAGCCTTTCCCTTTATGGGGACAGCTGGTATCCAATGTTACAACTACATGGGATGGAAAATACGCAGTTCTTGGTCATGTTCTCTTCTTGTGTGGGTGGGGGTGCTTGGTCTAAGAGAAATATCTGGAAAGGGTTGGACTAGTTTTGAATACTGTCACGAAAGAAAAGATATTTGGAATATTTTCAGCTTATGTATAGTAGACAAACTGTGGTAGATTTTTTTTGTTGTTGTTCTCAACTCTTCTATCCCTGCTCATAGAAAATAATAGTTGCTACTTTGAAGAGTGCTTCTAATGCTGATCGTCTCCTATTGGTATGTATTTGTGTCACCACTTATAAGGTTGGTCTGGTATTGTAGTTGGTAGACAATCTGTTTCTTGGTACTGTATAGATGGTACGAATTAAAGTTCATGTATTATCTGATGAATGTTGGTTTACAAACATGGATGTCTTGAACCCATACTCAGCTCAAGAACAATCAACTACTGTTAATTGAATAAAGGGTTCAATTAAAAATTCTGACATGATTACTGAGTACAACAGACACCTGAAGAAAGTCAGATGGCATGGTGGTCGAAACATTGTGAATATAAAATCCAAAATGAGTACACTAGACTGAATGGAAAGGCATATAATAAAATTTTGAATTTAAATATTTTAATCCCTGCCTAAATGTTGACCACCATGTCTCAACATCTCAGGGTTCTCCATGGTTTTATTTTTCTTCATTAATGCCTGTGAATTTCTATGACTTAGAATCAGTTTTCTGTTGTCTTTACTACAGGTTTTGAATTCAGAGTTGCCCTTCTAGACTGGTTGCCTTGTCAAAATGAAAGAACCCAGTATGCCCTACTATTTTACTCATATGTAAGGGAAGGTACATTCATGCCTTCCAAATGGCATTAGTGCGAAGTGAATCCAACAACCTTGGTAGAAATTTAACTTAGCCTGCCAATTTCAGTTTCCGTGCTGCTAGAACATCCTTGCTTTTATATTTTATGTGCTGTGTTCCTTCAGGACACAAGCAAATCATTGCTTGCCAGTCTCATATCCCTTGTGGCCCTTAACAGTTTTTCTACTTCTTCATATAGTAAAGTTATTGAGATTATTAAAACTATTAACTAGAACAATCCCTAGCTTTTATTGAATCTTTTTGACCCACCCACCACCAAGTATTTATCAACAATCTGGATAATCCCATTGATGCCAGGGAGTTGATATTGACCACTCGGAGAATCCCTGATCTAGGATAATGTCAAGTCACTTTAATTAAAAAAAAAAAAAAAAAACAAAGACAAAAACATACCTTATAAAAATTGAATACCAGATCCAATTCGCATACATTATGAAAGTATTCGTTCAACACTTCCACAAAGTTATGGATTGCCTCTAGGTATACCAAATTGTTGTCACTTACGTCAACACAGATACAGAAATATAACCCAGCATATCGGCGGTACACAATTTTGAAGTTTCGGAACTAAAATGTAAAATGCGGTATGAGATCATTAAAAATACAATTTTGTTAAATCAATTTTTAAAATAATTTTTTTTTAAATTTAAAAAGTATCTTTAATATGATTTAAATTTTTGTTTTATGCTTCTACAAAAAATGAAAAAAAAGGAAAAATCTACACTTGAGTTTTTAAATATTTTAATGCATGATTTAATCTTGCTATAAAAAATGTTTGATCTATACATATAGAAGAGATAAAAAGTTAATGTAATTGCTTTTTAAAATTTTTTTTTACTTTTTTTTTTTTTAGATAAAATAGTACAATTTAAGAAGTTAATGTGAAACAAATAGAAATATTGCTTTATGCTTACTGAAGAACGATAAAGAACCTCTTAAAAGACCAACATGCAAGTATTTTAATGATGAAATCAGGATGCTGGAATGATTCAGAATTATTAAAAATGTACTAATGCTGATATTTGCTTAAGTCTTTAAAAATACCAATAATATAACAACTTAAATTTGTCAGAAAAGACAGGTAATTTTGCTAGGTAAATTCTTTTAAAACATTAATCCACACTGTCAAGAAACTTCCCATGAATTTAATTGTATTTGAACATCTTATGACTTAAGAGGGAAAATTTCATGTGCACTTTGTCTGAAACCCCATTGGACTTAATTACAGACATTCTTTAATTTGAAGGTAAAGTCTTTGTTTCTGTTAAAATAAAAATTAAATGTATATTGGGCAATTAGAGTCTGAAGAATATTACTACTTTGGTACCCAAGTCTATGAAAATGTAATTTAAGCAATCTCACCTCCACAAAGTTTGTGTGCTTAGCATCTCTGACTGTTACCACTGCATGTACTTCTTCTATTAACTTTTGCTTCTCATCATCATCAAAGTGCATGTACCATTTGGCCAGACGAGTTTTACCAGCCCTGTTTTGGATAAGAATAAAACGAATCTGCAAAAGAAAATCAAGGCAAAAATAAAATTTAGACAAAAAAGGTATAAAAAAATCAGATAAATTAATAAGGCATAAAACAAAGTAATTTTAATTTCATTAAAATGAAAACTTAAAAAGAAGCATGTGTGTTTGTGTGTATATATATATATATATATATACACACACACATACATATACACACAATGTGAGGCAGAAAGGATAGACATTTTTGAAAAATTAAAATCATTAATTTAAGCTTTAAAAATTTTTTTATTGACAACAATGTATTCGTATTGAATTAGCATTTGACAAAATCAAGTGTGGAAAACGATATCCCTCATGCGGTGTCCGTTTTCATTGATACATTTCTGAAAGCATTCTTGGAAGTTGGTTTCCACTTTCCAGCATGGCTCTGTTGATTTGGATGACTTCCACATGAATTGCTTCCTTCAAATCATCCAATCTACTGGGTTTATGCTCATACACAAGTGTTTTGAGGTTTCCCCACAAGAAATAATCACACACAGACAAATCAGGGGGACCAAGGAATGTCAGCAACCCTGGAAATGAGGTGGTCACTGAAGAGAGGACAAAGAATGTCCATTGATGGTCTGGCTGTATGGGCTGTCACTCTATCCTGCTGAAACCACACAAATCAGATTGGAATATGTTTTTGTTGTAATTCAGGCACAAAGAAATTGTTTATCATCTCACTGTAATGTTCAGAGCTCATAGTAACAGCATTTTTATTATGGTCTTCAAAAAAGTAAAGACCAATGATACCAGCTTTTCCAACAGTGCACCAAGTGGTGCATTATGAGCATTATACTATTCTAACAGCTATTGGGTGGGTGGTAACAGTTGTTTTGAATTATTCTAGGGGTTATTGAATGGAAATAATTGTGGATCTGAATGCAGTTAGAATAATACACTAACACCATTGAATGGAGTATGTTTTTAGATACAAGAACACTATTTTATCATCAGTAGTTTTGCATTTTTGTCAGTGATGGACAAAGGCTGCATACTATGTTTGTAAACATGGTTGTTGCTACTGCTGAAACATTTTACCACCATCTGACACTGTTCACATCCACTGTTAGCTCTCTAACTTCATGAGAAGTTTTTTTGACTTTGTGGATTAATATTTTAAAAGCAAGTATTACTGAATGTTAATGAGCATTCAATTCAGATGACATTTTACCATACTGCTCCTCAGTTATCTGTAACAAGGCAAAGGCAAAAAAAATTATATGTTAATGGCAAGAAGATTCAACTTCTAGTGCGATACTACTAACATCCACCTCTGAAATAATAATGTAGAAGATATTACATTTGGAGCAATTCACATACAGTAACTTGTGCTGTAATACAAGAGGATATTTATATGCTGCATATTCAGGAGAGAAGTTGTTATTAAGCAAAAATGATTTTACTTAAAAATGTCTTAAAAAGCTATTTTCAATTATGTTAATTATTGTTCAGTTTTAAAGCTAATTTAAGAACTCATCTTCCTTCTAAGCGAATGCAGAAAGTTTCAGCATTTATAGGATTGCTATTTGGAAACTTATTTCAATTTATGATAAAACTTCCTCTGGAATGACAAGAATAATAAAATTAGTGAAAAATAATTATTGTGGATAAAATTTGCATTGTACTACTTTTTAGAAACTGGCTCATGAAAGAGAATTTTTCTTGAGGCTCCCCAGGGAAAAAAAACTAATTATTAATGATCCAGTTAATAGAGATTGGTTGTAATTAGCATAATAATGTAAGAGTATCTGAGTAAATTGAGTGGCAATATTTAGTTTCACAGGCTAAAAGCTATATTTTATCTTTACTTCTAGAACAAATAAAGAAATGTTTCAAGGAAGAAATAGTTATTGATAAAATTTTTTATTTCTTTACTTTCAATATGAACTTTTTAAACATATATTATATCTTAATATATTAAATGCTTTATACCATACAAAATTAAAAGAAATGACAAAGTATAAATCTTATTGTTTCTGAAGAAACTATTTCAACATGCCACATAACCAATGCATGTTTTGAAGCGGCAGGAGAGCATGTTATCCAGGAATAATTCCACTTCTGTAATTTAGCTACATGAATGTTTTAATAATCTTTTATTTTATTCTGTTTTAAATACAAATTGTAGAAAATGATTTTGTATTTCTACAAATTTAAAAAAAACAAAAAAACTACTTTGATGTCTTACTGAAATATTCATAAACAAGAATTCATGTTTTCTTATTTTTTTTATTCTCATTACTTGAATTGCTAAAATTACACCTTTAAGTGCCAACTCTAGGTGTGTCATCAGTGTTATTACTCCCATGTTACTAGAAGTTTTGGGTCTAAATAAACAACAGATTTCTTCGATGGGTGACCCGACTGAATATGATCAGTATTCGGCCTGCATCCAGAGTAAATTTGCTACTAGCTTTATATAATTTCCCCCAGAAAATGGCAACTAATCAAGTCTACACTTACACTATTTGATGTTATAAATTGGTTGTACTGATTTTCCTACATGAGGCCAAGATGGGGTGTTTTTTTTAAGAAAAAAAATAAAAAAATAAAGATCAAACCAATGAATATATATATATATATATATATATATATAATAAAATAAAAAAATCCAAGTTATTATATTGGCTTGTCTTACAACTTATTTTTCTTTCACTTCCACCTCTTTTAAATTCTTTATTAATTCTTTATCATTAATTTTAATTTTATACTTGTCATTATTCACATATGTAGATGCAAATCTGTCTAAATAGTTATTTTGGTTTTGAGTAAAGTCTCTTAAGAAAAGGAATCCTCTACTCATATTCTAGATTTCATATATGAGAGTTAATGAAAAGATTTCCAAATTTGTTTTTTTAATATGTCTATGTGAATAGGCAAATTTACACTATTTTTCACTTGCTGTTTGTCCCTCCCCTTCCTACAGCCATAGGTTTAGGGTGATAAGGGGATGCATACTGATAGATAATTCCACTTAATATTTTTCTTCATTTTTAAGACACAACACAATTTAAACTGTTAAAATCTAAATCAGCATTAAAAATTCATTAAAGAATAGTGGTTATATAATTAACTGTCCCTACCTGAATACATGAACTTGAATTGGAATCACACATATGTTTAGCTTAATGCTACACTTCTAGCATCACCACCTAAACTCCAAAATTTTTACTCCTTTTTTTAAATTATTTTTTTCCAATAGGAGTAGATAGGTTTGTCTATCATTCGGTTCATATTCCTTTACTGTCTATTGAACAGGAGTAGAGGTTTCTCCCTGGTTTCCTGTTTAGGATTGGGTTTCCGGTTTCTTCTAAAGTCTTCTCATTCACTTTCACTCCCAGTAACCCATTGTGACTTAGTGGCATTATTGCCTCGCTTTGAGGTGAAATCATAAAAAAAAAATTTTTTTTAGCTTTTTGTAAAATTTTGATGCTAATATCAGAAAGGATTTAAAGCGTGTATTAATTCTCTGAATATCTAGATGACCAGTGTCTGGGAGCTGATCTCTCCTTTGATCTAACTCTCACAGTTCAATGGGGGAGGGGGAGGGAAAGAGACTGCCTAAAAAATTATAGTATTTTATGTACACTTCTGATAAAATTTAATAAGAAAGGTACCTATAAATTAATTAGATACCTTTCTTATGAAATATGAAATTTAATCACACTCTTAACAGTCTTATTTTAATTTCTTTATAATATATTTTCCATAAAGCATCGTAAGCGTAAAGGTGAAAGCTAAGTACAAAAACCCCCCCAAAAAACAAAATTAGAGCACTGTAAGTTTTCCTTAAAAATAACGAGGTAAATAATTTCACTTAAATGTAAATAATTTCTCCTTTTCTCCTTCTATAGAACAAATTTTCCTCACATAATCCGTCAACATGTTATTCATCACATGTCAAGTGACGCGAAAGGTTATGACCTGCTTTGTTTTATTTTCAAATTACATCTTTTCGGTGCAGAAGCTAAGTTAAGCTTGGTTCAAAATATTTTAAATAAACATTATAATTTCTGATTTTCTTAAAATAAGTTTTAAAAAAATGATAATTGATTTTTAAAAGAATTTCAAACTGAGATTTTCATTTTTTTTATAAAATGGAAAAAAATGGTTGCCATGATCAATTATCTGTCAATTTTTCTGAATTAAAAAAAAAAAAAAAAACAAGATTTTTAACAAAAAAACGTGCTAGGAACGATTAAAAAAAATGTAAAAAAAAAAAAAACCCCCCAAAATACTTTGATCTTTCCTCTTAATAATGACATAAACATTTAGACGATAAAATTTTGTTTTCATCAAGTTTGGTGTCTTTTTTCATCATGCTATGCTCTTTTTTTTTTAGCGATCTCATGGAGGTACCTACATTAGGATAATGTTGAAGTTGTAAATAAGCATTCATATAGTCATGGCTTCAATATCTGTCTATATTTCCGAGTATTGTAACTGTTGACACTATTCAGACTATTGTCCGCATCACAATGTATATCACCTGAAGAAGGCTGGAGCATATGACGGCTGAAACATATGACAATAAAGATGTGGAAAATAGTCCAAACAATACTGTTCTTAACAGGGGGTTCTTAACCTTGCTTGCTCCATGCACCCCTTTCACCATTTGTCAGAATGCCACCCCCCTTCTCTTTTTCAAGGAGACAGGCCAAATTCTATAATTGCTCTCCTTCCCCCTAAACTTACTGTGGTCACAATTCACCCTTGAAAATCTAAAATTCAACCCCTGGGGGGTGAATTTCACTTCTGTTGAGAACCCCTGGTGTAAACAGTCATGGCTTTCTTGACTTTATATTAAATTTTATCATTTTTATGTAAATCCCATAAGTTCCACCCTCCTATGATTGCTTTTCTCTAGAATTAAATTTTAAGCCTTGTCTGCAAGTACATACTTTATCCTATGTGTTTTAATAAATTAAGAATCTGGAACAAATGATTATATTTATTTACCTGGCCACCCTAATAAGGCCGGATGTGACACAAGGGATTTTTTTCTGTGGGGGAACCTATGTGTACATACACCAAAGAGCAAAAATTGCTCAGTCCTTGTGACCACTGTCATCAATATTACACAGACTTCTTCACATCCCTTAGTGCAATGAGGAAGGTGCTGTTGTTGGGTTGAAATCCTCATGACCAGGAGCTTCCTCCAATCAAAAATGATATCACACTTTGATCTTGGTCAAATAATAATAATAATATGCACATAAGGAAATTAAAAATTTAAGTTTTTGCAGGCTACAGAGTTATTTGATATTACTTATAGTTAATTAATTAGTGTCTCTTTCAGTCCATTTGGGATATCTCTCCTGCACAAATACAATTTTTTTCTCAATTGTCAAAACTGCAACTATGTTTTCAGTATCACTTTAGTGAAGAAATATGTCTTGGTTTAAGAATAAGATCATTAATTTTTTTTTTTATTAATGATCCAATTTTTCAGAGCTAAAATGTTTTCAAACGAAAATGTCTAAGTCTTGCTGTTCAGCAAAAAAAAAGGTGAATATTTTTAATTTATTGATATTATAGCGAGTTTTACAAGCATGATATTTGGCACAAATTAAAAACTAGAAACTCCTTTTTTTTGAGAAAAGAAGGTAAATAGATTTAATTCTAGAAATACATCAGTTTTAAAACGAAGCACGGAAGAATGTTCCTGGCTAAACAACAACAACAAAAAACAAAAAAAAAAAACAAACTCATCGAACATTACCCCAAAGCATCCCTACTACGGATTACCAAAAATAAACGAAACCAAGTATTCCGAGGAGACTAATTATTTATATCAGGAACAAATATCGTGGCGCACTAGTTAAATTTTAACCCCATTTCTTGGCACAATTAGCTCATCGCATATATAATAATAATAATAATAAAAAAAAAACTTCGGTGATCTTTTAAATAAGTTAAAAAACATAAAAACAAATTACGAGTTTTAAAACAAATGTTCACGTAAAAAAATGCCTAGATTTACTAAAAAACAAACAAAAATAAAATGACCTATTCCTACACATAAGAAGATGATAAAAATGTACCAATTAAATCACTAATCAATGGTTTTACTTTTCACCTTCGATAAAAATTTTTTACAGACAAATAAAAAGAAGACATTTAGCAGAAAAGGAAACATTTAAAATTTTATTCTGACTTAAAAAAAAAAAAGAAAAAAAGGGGTGCTGGGGTCTACTGTTTCTTAACAATTCAAATTATAATGATAGATTTGAGACCGCAGACTTAAATTAAAAACATATATAAATTTATTACCCAGTTGAAATCATTGTTCACTTCAGAAAATATAAGGAATAAAAATAGATCCTTAAAATAAAACTAAAACAGGTGTCACTGAAAAATACACACCTGACATTCAAGTCTTTTACGAGTTGTCTTAAGAAGTAGGAATTTCTCTGAAACATAATATTAGGGCTTACTGAGATATTTTTTTTTGTGAGTCTACATTTCTAGAGACAAACGAAACACGTCTTTTATTTAACAAACAGATCGGAATGTTAAATAAATAACAATTAACTAAAAAATCGAGTTACTGTGTAAAACTGTAACTCATGGCTTGGCAGCGGTCACACCAAGGATAGTCAATCAAAATTGATAAAGACAGCAAAGACACATGATTCGGCTTGAATAAAATAAAATGAACTTCAAAGACATTTAACACTCGTAATTAAAAAAAACTTAAAACAATTTAGAAAGTACAAAAAATCGGTACTCACCATAATGTGCTGGCTTGATAGAATACCGCCCACTTACCGATCTGCGCATGCGCCAGTGTTTTTTTCGGTGACTTCCTGTCGAGTGTAGTAAGAAGTTAATAAACCAAAATCAGCTGATAGTGTGAGTTTATGTTCACTGTTATTAAAGAAAATTAATTAATAAATCAGGTTTAAACTTGAGGTTTAAATATGTCTATTTTCTGGTGAGAATATTAAATGAAAAAGAAAACTTTCCCAAGGGTAATTTGCGCGTAAATGAATGTGCAAAAACCTAAATAAAATGTTTAATTTAGATTGAATTATTAGTTAAAAAATTATGACACATTAAAATTAATTTTAATTTAAAAATAATTTTAATGTCTTATTATATTTTAACTAATCTTAATTCAATCTTAAATTAAAATTTTTATTTAGATTTTTTGCACATTCATTTACGCGCAAATTACCCTTCTTGGGAAAGCTATGAATCTGCCTCTTCTCACCCACCTATGGGTTAATTTAAGTAGTAGGACTTGTATCAGTAAATCATTATAATCCCCCCAAAATTCTTACAAACTAAGATTAAAATATTTTCTGGCTGCAAAAAGGTTGATAAGTAGTAAGGAACAAATCAATATAGTGGTTATTAAAACTTAAGAGATGTATGTCTGAATATTTCATCATTACTGAATAATATGCTAGATTCGCATGCTCGTTTAAAGGTCGTTTACTTGCGAAATGTGCCATAAGTGGGTATATAAAATAGCAAGTAATCCAATGATTATGAAAAAAAATGGATTTAATTCGTTTGCTTTTATTTTCAGGAGGAATATTACTATATATTGAAATTTTTATAAAAATTATTTAAAATAATTAATAATGGAATAAAATAAGAATTGGAATATTTTTAACTATTAATTTGTATTAGAGTCAGTGATTTAAAAGCTTTGATAATCATGCAAGACGATTTCTTAAAATTGCGAATTTAATGCGTTAAAGGCCCTTAAATCAACCAAACTAAAAAGTAAATTTTAAATTATAAATCGTTAGCAGCGGACGATAGTTACTGTTCTTTAGTTGAATCGTACGTAACTGTATCGCATATATTGGATTGCACTTTGCAAACACCGCTTTTTAAAGTTATTGTTTTAGTGTTACTGACCTAACATGTTTTTAATTTTAAACACTACGTAAAAAATAGGGAAAACGGGTTTAAAAAATATTTTTTAATTATTTATGCTTTTCTTAGACCGTAACACTTATTATTAGAATAAAAAAAATCTTTCAAATCATGACTTTTTACGGAATAGACTGGCAAACTCGTAAAAAATAGAGAATGTTTTTTTTATTTTTGGGAAATAATTTTTGTATTAGAATTCATCAAGCCACATTAGCCAGAATAAAAAAAAATATTGATTTCTTATCGATTTAGAAGAGGGCCCCTGTAAATAAATACATAATCATCAGTCTTTTACAGTTGTTGGAGCTGTATGTTATTTACAAATATCGAGTTTGATATCTTCCTTTTTTTTTCTTTAATTTTCTGAAGCTCTTAGACTTAAGATATTTTTTTCATTGGGAAGTTTTCGGAAGCACATGCACGAACATTGATGGTCCAAAGACAAAAACGGACACACTTGAAAAAAGAGAAGCAACTCAACGACAATATTTTAGCATCCCGATACCACTTTCATATCAATGTTGAATTTTGTACAAATCTGTGCAAAAAGTGGATCAATCAGCTTACCCAGCTTTATACATATTTTCAGGAAATATCAGCTTCTAATTGGTCAATAAACACACAAGGGGCGCTGCAATCCACCCACGTACAAGTCTCCTTCCAGCGCGTGACCAAGTCAAGTGTTCACGCTCTATTTCCATGATCCTACCACGTGATTAGATTAATTATAAATACCAGACATGAGTTCGTTCCTTCTTTTCTTCCTTGATTTCTCTCGCTACAAGATGTAGTTGTAAAAAGGATTCGCGTCTTGACCAGGAGCGGCCAGACACTTATGAACAGAAAACATATTCACACATGCACGTACGTACGAACTTTTCCAAACTACATTACAAACATACGAAACATTTCCAAACCAGCAACAAGAATTTTCTCTTTAAAATACTCCCTTAACGCTAAAAGTTTATTCAGCATTTCTCAGCCTTATAATTCTTTCAACTCTCTAACAGTGAACATTTTGAGCGACAAGTTCAACTTTTGTGAGCTCGGATAAAAATATTTCAATTTCATTAGTAAAAACTTTAATCCAGTCAAAGGGACATAACACCAACAAAATAGTGTAGCGTATGTACCAAATATAGCGTCGGGCCGATTCACTAAATGTAGCAGGAACACCAAATATATAGTTACGACTACTATTTATATTAATGATTCTTCCATGTACAGGATTCAAGAAATAATAACATCAACTCCAATTTGTCAACCAACAAATATATATTGAATAAAATACAACAAGAAGCATGAAATCAAATCGTATTCACAATGTAGACTAAAGAGGAGGAAGTGGTTTCCCTTTGACTGTAGATTGATTGTAATCAACAGTTTGAAGAAAGTTCCCTTGTGAGATAAATGTTCTGAAATAATTGTTAGAGTAAAGTTTGCATGTGAAGAATGAATAACAGCAAGAATACAATTGCTTGAAATGTGTTGTGAATAAACTGGTCCTGGTTGATTGTGCTTGGTGAAAGTTACAGAGAGAAAATGTAAATCTGTAGTTACGAAATTCTGTGTCTGTGTGTGCGTTAAAGTGTGATGAGCAAGATCGTGGATTTGTGTTGACGGTGGGGATCTTACTGGCGACTTGCGAAAAGTTTCCCTATTTAAGGAAAAGATGGAAGGCTGCCCACGGAACCGCGGGAAAATTTATTGCCAATCTTGCATTAAAAATATGTGATTGGTTAAAAATGAACCAATCACTTCACACAAATATAAAAAAACAGAATAGGTAAGTATAAATCAGAACCAAAAGATTCAAAGGAAAAAATATTGTAAAAAAGATAACAATGTGGGTATACTCCAAAAATATCAACAATAAGTATAAAAAAAAAGTTGCTTCCCTTTTTCCGTAAAAAGGGTAAAAGTTTAGCTAATTAATGTTGAGTACAATATTGAATGTTATTTAACTAATAAAAAGTTCAATTGAAGTTCTTAGCTAAAATAAAGAATAAGTTTCCACAGTCTTTTTATCAGTGTCAGAAAAGATGTAATGTTCATGAGTGATATCAATAGGAATTAGTATGATTACTCGAATGAGTAATAATTAAGAATTAAAATGTCAATATAGCGCCGTGCCTTATTTTCCAAGAATTGAACTGCTACTATATTTATTGGTCGTAAATACAACAAATGTGGCACAAGGCCAAAAGGGGTTTGGGGGAAAAGGACGGTCATCACTTGTCTTAATATAAAACTTAGCTAGCCACAACCACTGACCCTATCATACAAAACAATATTCCTTTCACCAAAGCACCACATTTATCCAAACTTTCTTACTACATCCACCAAAATACCTCTTTGACTCAATGAAATTCCTAAATACTCCCCTTATATACAAATATTGTCTGTGGGGGTAGGTGCATAAAAAACAACAATTTAAAAAAAAAATCCCCAATGAGTATATACAATATGACATCATATATTTACAAGAAACTAAACAAAAAGGGTGTTAGTAATAAAACCACCCACAAACCTTATATGTGGCAGAAATATCAGTTAACCGGACGAAATCGATGCGGGACTATGAAAAATAAAGGTAACTCTCATTCCTCCAAGGCATTCAGACAGACACACACACATTCATACACAACAACAAATACGAAAAACACACACGCGAAACGAAAGGCGCCCCGCATCTACCAGAGAACTGACATCACTGACCACCTAAACGAGGGAGGGGATGGGGAATTAAACTAAAGGAAAAAAAAGTGGGACAGAAATAAAAGGGGCCAATGAGCAAACACACCCAAGCTAAGTTTACTGAAAAGAAGAAAAACAAAAATAAAAAAAAAAACCTACACTAATCTCGGGAAGGGTTGCCCATGTTCAACCCAGGAAAACAATATCCTGATGCCTAACCGGCATCAAAATGCCACTCCAAGTCAGCCCCTTTTACACGGCACAAACGCGCAAGATTCACCCACCTTTTGCTGAATTCTGATGAGGTGAGCCGCCGCCTTTCCGTCCTAATCTTGACTTTAAGCTGATGCTTAAAGTACAAGATCAGTTGGGAAGAAGTGAACTTCTCGCCCTCATAGAATCCCTTCTGACGCGTCGTCCAAATCACGACTCTCATAACCCCTAGTAAGCAACAGAACACATAGTGTTCAGCCTTCGTCAATTGCGGCACCACATTGCTACAAACAGAACTAGCTTCAAGGACAAAAAACTTTCCCTGCAACATGCGAACCATGAGGCCTTCAACAAACTTGCACAACGGCACTACCGCCTTGCACTGAAAAAAGGCGTGACCAATGGTCTCGACTTCCCCAGTACAGCGACGACAGTTTGGATATTTCTCCAAGCCTGCTGAACAAAGTCTCTTGCCGACCCAGAGGGCCCCACGAATCATCAGCCAGGTGAGTGATGCCTCATCATTATTGAGACATTTCAACCCAGGCGCCCAAGGCCATATCGAGCGAGCCTCCTGCTTCGTAAGACCGAGCTCGCCAATCAGATCATCTTGAACGGCCCCCCTAACTAACAGTCGATACAATGCCTTACGAGACAACGCCTGGGCGTTGGAGAGGCCATCCGACGCCCGTAAGAGGTGTTTCAGAGCACGACGACATTCGCGGTAGAAGGAGCACTCGGCTCGGGGTGTACGACCGGCCTCCTCCTCGCACGAGTGCACACTTCTCAGGGATGGGAAATGTTTACGGACGTCCTCTTTCCAGAAGGCGCCCACCTCATCCGATCCGCGACACATTCGGTCTAGAAAGGTAATGCGAAGCATATGTTGACGAATCTCAATGCTAGGCATACCCAGACCGCCCTCAGAGGGATGAAGGCA